ATTGTCACGTGATCTCGATGACGCAACAATATCATGCTTGAGTAATTTAATGACATATGACTTCAGATGAAATAAACCTGTATTTCCCAACGTTTTGGTTGTACACCTTTATCAAAGGGCTATAGTACAGAAACACACACAGAGATTTTTGAACTTATAACCGACGCTTTAGCTATAATGTATATTAAAGACGTCAGTTTGTAGTAAGTTGTAAATAATATACCTTTTTGAATTACCGGCACTTGTGTAATATTTAAAATTATAATAAATAGTTAAAAACAACGTTTACTATTTACACAATTAAAACGTTATTGAAGCCGCACGGCTTCCATTTTAAAACAACGCTCCAACACTCTGCAAGTATTAGTTTTCGTTGTTTTAAATTGGAAGCCGTACGGCTTCAATAAAGTTTTAATTGTGTAAATAGTAAACGTTATTTATTATTTATTATAATTGTAATATACCTTTATTCTAGAATTAAAATGTCGGTTATAAGTTTAAAAATCTATGTGTGTTTCTGTACTGCAGTCCCTTGATAAAGGTGTACAGCTAAAACTTTATAAAATAAAGGTTTATTTCATCTGAAGCCAAAGGTTGCCCAGTGATTTCACCACTGGCTATCTGTACTATACCCACCATGAGTACTTATACCTAGTTTCTAGCGTTGTAAGTCGACATGCCACTGGGGGGCACTTCAGCATGTCAAAAATACTTCATCTCGCCTTACTACAATTACAAACGGGAAAATAAGATAATGTTTACTGATCAAATATTATAACAACTTCAAAGCTGTTACATATTCAGATTTCGAATACAGTACATGGAAGAATTAATGATAATGTGTACGCTTGAAAACAATGTATATTAACGTACATGCATGCGCTTCTTTATATATTTGTTTGATGTACAAAGTGACTATGAAGAAAACGTTACATTTAAAATAATCATAGTTTTAAAACTGATAGTTTAGGAAAACTTATTTTTAAGCACAAAGCTGCACAATGGACTTTCGTAGGTGGGGCTCTAGCAGAGATGGAATCCTGAATTGTAGTCATAAACCCTCATTTTCGACGTTACGTCAACAGGGGGCGAGAATCATTAGTTTCAGTTAAATTTGACTGGAGTTTGCATAGTATTTAGAAGATGGAATAAGAGTTTGAACATGGTTTACAATGTGGCTTGAAATTCACTGTGTGGTAGCGTAAGGTGTGACAATCCTTGAAAGAAACGTAACACTAGAGCTTGTAAGTGGAACTGTTATAACTGGTAGTCGTGGTACATTATAGCCCTGTCATATTAAGTATAAAACTGCCATAAAAGCATTCCAAAAATCTTGTCAGATACAAAATTATGATTGGTTTTACATATACGTTAATATTTTTTTCTAAATAGTATTAGACAAAATCAAAGCAAATTTATTATCAGACATGATCTTCAAACATGCAGCCATGACTGTTGTTTTTGCCTCTATTGATGGTAATATAATTTTAAAATCTCTTACCTCACAATATTATTTAATTTCAATTATGTTTTATGTATCTTTATAATTTCTGACAAAGGTCTGACGTTTTTTGATAATTTATCCGTTACTTACGATTTTACCTTAAAACGTTTCAACATAACTTATATTTATTCAATTGTGCGTAATTTACTTATTGTTCACTATGTTGTTGGGATTTCCAGAACACAATACCACCGACAACTGAAGCAGGAGTTGACAAAATCGGTGAACTTGGCGATGGACAGTTAGACAGTAGTGAAAGTCAAGTGAATAACACTCGAGCTATTTCTAATCTGTATGAAGAACCTAAACACATATGAGAAGTATTTATATAGTGTAGCAATAATGATAAAGGTTTTGAGACGTCTAAACAAGCCCTGCTATCTTTTAATTTCTCGTTTTAACTAAGACATATCTCGGGGTACACCTAAAAGTTGGCAAGTTATTCAAGAAGCTTTCCGGAGGAGGAAAGGTAGTGATTATTTCTCCAACTAATTGAAGTAGCAGACTTTCATCAAAAGTATCCAGACGTTTGTGCATTTTATCATATTTCGTGGGATACAAGGGAATGTGGTAAAAAATGAATTTTAAAATGTTTCCTGTAACAGATTGAAATATAATACTTGAAAATGGTGTAGGGTTCGGGAGAAAGAAGAAATGTTAACTCAATGTCATCGATTTAAAATGTTTTTAAATTATCTCAATAAAAAACAATCTGTTATATATCTATCAATACGATTTGTTTTTGTATTATCATGAGAATTACTGAACATAATTTACTAATTAACCCAGACCACTGCGTGTTCACATGGGTAAACTATTTCGAAAACTCGTACTTCACATCGTAAGTCGATATATCATGCATAAGTGGCACAAAGAAGTAATTTGTTAGAAAACGGATTAAATAATATCACACCATGGAGACAATAATAAACTAATTTCAGGTAAGATACCGAAAATTAAGCATCAAAAGCATTTTGTCTAAAATGTTCATAAAAGTATAATTTCTAAAGCAAAATAAAGAGTGAATGCACGAAGAATTTTTCGTTAGTTGATTTGTATTAATTTGGAGTAAAAAATATCCATGAAAATACACTAGATATAAGTTACTTCACGAAGAAAATACTGGTTATAATAATTAAATACAACTGTAACCAAGAATGTGATTCTACAAATAAATCGGACTAGTAATTACGTAGACGATATTTATATTTTATCAGAATTAAGTCAGCCATTAGCACTGTCTGTTGCGATGATTTTCTAATCGTAAAACACACTCCGAGCGTAATTTATAGTTAGTTATTTTAGCAACGTTTAAAAAAAAAATTCTGAAAAAAAAACATTATTATAATAAATGCCCTTAAACTTTTTGGGTGCTTCTCAATACTAGAACTTTTCAAGCCTAATAAAATGTAAAAAAAAGAAGTTAAAATCATTATTAAAGATGTTGTGGAACATGTACAATTTTGCACAAGTTTCCAGACCCTATACTACTCACGTGTTCATGGATTAGGTGAGAATGCAAGTACGAAAATGAAACTTGATGAATCAGTCTTTATTTAAAATTTCACATAAAAAATGTAAAGGTTTATCATTGAAATGTACAAAAACAAACAAAATACAGAAAATAATTTTACATTCTGCTAGTTTTAAATGTAATTTTACTTCTTAATTGCATAAGGGTTATTCACGCTCAAGAGATAATAATGAAACTATGTATGGAAAAATCATTAAAGTTGCAGCTTTTTTGAGGTTAGACTTTAAGGATTTTTTTCTTGTTGTTGTTATAACTTGGAAATATTTGAATAAAGCAAGAATCGTAAGGTTACAAACCTCTCTTTACTATCAAATTAATATTAACGAAAGAAAAAATTATTACTATTGCGTCTTCATTGTGTCTAATTACAATTGGTTGTACGGCTAATTTTTCTCTCCAAACTTCTTGTATAGCAACAGGAGCTGTTATCACATATCACTGTTAACAAGGAAAACTAGTCAACTCGTATATTTATTCTATTATTATATGCAATCGCACAAAAAAGTAAACGAACAAGCTTAAGGTTTGAGACATAGTGTTGACATTATTTCTTCAAGCTATTTTGACACTCCTAAATAAATACAGCTTTTAGACATTGACTTAAGATAGAGATTTGTAGCTTGAGGAAATAATTTCAACACATTTCAAACCTTAAGCTTGTTTACTTTTTTGTGATTGCATTTTCAATTTAAGCTACCTATCTTGTTTTTGTATTTTTTCAAGAACCATATTCTCCCTTTTTAAATAATATTGTTTCTTTACTTTTTTATTTATGTCCATCATGGACTTAAGTCTGTATAATAGCAATAGTGTCCTATTTGAAACATTTTAGTTTAATGACACACGTAGTTGGCGTATGATGCTCTCTAAGGGGAAACAATGACAACCTTTGGATTTGCTTCATGCAGATTGGATGGCTATTGCTCCTGATATCATTGCCACAATGTAATCGTTGATAGTGGTACTGCGTGTATGATCACTATGATGCATGTGATCAACATACCACATGTTATGTATATACCTGTATAACATATGTAACTACCATATTTATACCCTGTAGCTGTATAGTTAATCTGTATACACTGGATTGGAGGAACTACTGAATTATACTGGTATGATGCATGGACTGGATTTTGTAACCGCATGAGTTTTATATACGTATGCACATGTAATGCGTGTTAGCTGGTATTTATATCTATATATATACAAGTAAAAAAAAAACTTTTAAAAAAGGAAGTAAATGTAGGGATAGCTAGTATCAATCTTTCAAAAACAATGCAAACAAGATAGTAGGGATGGCATTTCCACCATTCCTACATAATAGTAGTGTTGTACAACGTTAACAGATAAAAATATGATAAATTAAACTCAATTATGATTGAACAGTTTTATATATATAAATATATATATATATTGATATATGCTAATTCTTGCCCGTGCTATTAAAAACCACCCTAAACAATGCACAATGATGCGTTTAGTAATACTGTCTAGGTTTGATTACAATACTTAGTCATTTTTGCTATAAGCTGGCGGAACAATATTAAATAATAATAATAAAAACTAAAAATGGAAGATCCTTATTATGAACAACTACTGTGGTTCATGACAGTCTAATTTCACTAGTCATCGGCATATATACACCTGGAAAAAAGTTAAGCACCCCCGTGTTTTTTTCAAGTGATTCAGATTCGACGT